TAGTTATTATTAGTTAGTAGTTAACGTATAATAAATAACACACACTACACACACACACACACTATATATATATATATATATATATATATATATATATATAGACATATGTATATATATACACACACACACACATATAGACTATACATACATACACACAATGAAAAAGCACTTTCAGATGAGCAGATTACACTGCATTCATTAAAAACTTGTTTCTAAAATACATGTACTATTCATAACTTTCTAGTTGGCAATATTTTAATTTGTGTTCTTGCTCAGCAAGTTCAATGCCCTTCTAAGTGATAATCATTGGAAATTAAAAAAGTTAACTACTTTCATTGTATAATGCTTTGGACATAAGAGTATGAAAAATAAATCTTAGGAGTGCAGAAAGAAATTATATTCACCATATTTATTTTTGTTATTACATTCAACAGATTTTTAATGTTGAATCAGCAGATATTTCTTCACATTCAGAAAAATATTGTATTCATCTTATCACATAAGGAACAAAACAGAATTTTTGCAGATGAGAAAAAAAAAGTTTCAAGTACAAGAGCTATTTAATTAGCAAAATGAATTAATTATACCCAGGAGTATCAATTAGTATCACGTAAAATAATTAATTAACTGAAATTATGATTAATTAATTAATGAAAATAACCAACTAATCAAAATTACTGTTCTTGATTATTCCAACTGTCTAATCATGCAAGAATAATTGATTAAACAGCCCAATAATCAAGTGACTATTAAATTCTACTAATTGTCCAGCTTTACCAAATATAAATCATATCATATTCATAGACTTTCAACTTTATTACAGAACTGTATATCACAACAGTAAACTTTGGTTTTTCTAATTTCACGTCTTTGGCAAGTAATTCATAACCAGAATATACATCAATATATTCTCTTTTCATATCAACAACTGACACCAACACACCAGTAGCTGTCACCATCGTTCAAGAAATTAATATTAAACAATGTAGGTTGTGATATATGAACAGCAGTTTCACTTTGGCTTGTAAACATACTGAATAACACTTTACTGTGTGATTTATCTCCCTGTTAAGATATCAATTTCACAGTAGCAGTATATTTTACTGTGTGATTTAGCTCCCTGTTAAGATACCAATTTCACAGCAGCAATATGTATTAAATTTTTATAGAACTTGCACCCATCTCAGTTATGTGCAAGTTTCAAGTTGGTCAAGTATGAAATACTTTAAAGATTTGTTACACAACTTGTTTTCAATCTAAAAAAAAAAAAAATGTTGAAACTGAGGTCACGAGTGTTTATACATTTAGTAGAGGATGAAAATAATCCTCTTTCTTAAGGAGCGACTCACAGATCCCTTACAGTAATCTAAACAAGTGAACACTTACATGAACATACAGGGTGAATCAAGTACCTATGATGTGTGTATATAAAAGTAGATGCAGAATAATGATATATCCTGGAAATGTAGGCATCATAGCAGCCCATGTACATTCTATAAGAGAAGTGGTACTTCACCAAAACTTGGGTTAACAGATACACCATGAAGCCTCTTCAAAGTTCTGGTGAACGTTGCTTTTCATGTTTCAATCAATATATTTGGTAACAGGTTAGAGTCATTCAGATAGACTGCTGCATCATCAGAAAGTTCAAGTAGTCTGCACATAAGACGTAGAAAATCAATACAAGCTGCTATAACAAGCTTACTAACTTACTTCACCATAAATGTTGTGCAGTATCTATCACTATTACACATCTTTCATTTTTGCTCCATTAAGTTTTAGGCAAAAAAGTAAAAACAATAAATAACATAAACACAAACATTTTATGTTAATATAGAGAGTTAGACCTACTTGTACATAATACAAGTATTAATG